TTGTCAATGATTTCTCTCAATTTTTTTGGTAAGCTCTCAAGGAAAACTACAGTTCTTCAGAAACAATTTGAAAATCACATATCTAAAGTTTCATTCTATTTTATACATATTTACTGTAATATTACAATTACTAAGAAGTGAACAAAATTGGCTCAATTAAGATACCATTTCAAGCTATGATTTAGAAAACGTCATATACAAGTAAGCCAACATTTTTAGTTATGCTTTCTCAAACCGATATTTTCATGCAGTTCTAATGTGTAGATTTATCCATCCTCCATCCATCCATTGAACCATCATGGTCATCAGTTGGCCTGATTTACACATAGCGATAAGCCTCCTTATTAACTGATGTCCATAATGCTAAATTCATATTGTTTATGATGCCAACATTACCAACATGATATCCATAAGAAGTACATTTGAAAATCAGGAGTATTGAAAAACAACTTCAGAATATAGTTAAATGATAGTTTAGATCTAAAAATATTGCTGCATTTTAAATTATGGTTAGAACAAAGGATGATCTGAGGAGATATAAAATACAGCCAAAATAAGACTTACTTTTTTAATAGCAACAATTTGATTTGTGTTCTTGTCTCTTGCTTTATAAACAGTAGCAAACTAAAAAGAGAGAAAATACCCTGAATGTTAAAAATTTCAATTTTCCAAAGTTAAACCAACATCATTACCCAGTTTTATTTACTTGGAACACAAAGAGAGGAAACTGTTCCTCAGATCCTGAAAACACAATTTTAAAGTATAAATAAGTATAAGTTATTTATACTTTGGAAGTATAAATTGTAATTGAGTAATTTCTGAAAAACAATAGCAGTAGCACTTAGACTTATATATTGCTCTACAATACTCTTCAGTGGTTTACAACGTCAAATATTGCCTCCAACAATCTGGCTCTTCATTTGCCAACCTAGGAAGGATGGAAAGCTGAATCAACCTTGAGCTGGTCAGGATTGAACTCCTGGCAATGGGCAGTTAGCCTGCAATACTGCATTTTAACCACTGCACCACCATGGCTCTTGAAGAACTGTTCTTCGCTCCATGTCTAGGAAATATGTAGTAAGATTATGCAAAACATTCAATAAAATGCAGCATACAAGCAAAACATTCATCCTAGAACATGAAAGCAAGGTGTTCTTCAGAAAGCTTGACATGTCAGTTTATGTGATTTATGCACCAGCAACACTTTTACTGGCAGTTGCAAAGAAGCAATGGTGCATAAATATGCATGCAGATGATATGGCTAAGGTTGTAAGAGATGGGGCTTTTTTAGCATCATTGTATTTTGTGAAATATTGTTTTCAAATGCTTTGCATAGTTTTAATGTTTAGCCTTCCTATTGTTCCATGACATAATTGATAAAAATATAATACAGGCAATAAAAATAAATAAATTTTAAAATAAACCTTTTAATAAAATCTAATACATTTCTATTCTTTAAACTAATCAATATCAGTATCTAAGGGAAATTACAGGCTTTCAAATGTACTTCTGAAGAAAGCAAACTTAGAAACTGCATTTGCGTTACATGCTTATTGACTGAGATAATTCAGTTTTCTCTGGTAGGGTCCAAAACAGTTACAACTTACTATGTTACACCAATATCCATCCAAAGCATGCTTTCTCACAATTAAAAATCAGAGATTAATGCAATTTGATTCCAAATTAGGGATGAATAGGATTACGTAAACTTTGAAGCCAGAAATGCCATGTATTTCTTTCCTTGAAAAAAACGTGGCCTAGAATAAAAGAAAATGCTGAGGGGAAAAAAGTGTCTAATTAGGGGAGATAAGATGCCTCTTTTGCAGGCCCTGTGGCATTAAAAAAAAGAATTTGCACAAACATTCTGAGGAGGACGAGATGACAAAGGCAAAAACCATTTTTTTCGCGTGTTGGTTTTGCTCCTTTATATTAAAAATAAAGCACAAAAGCGATGTGAGGCTGCAACTACGGTATGTTGGCATGACGCACACCGTTCACCGAGTTCACGTTTTCCGCCAAATATAATGTACTCCTAATTCAGACAGCCACGCTTTCACTTAGCCACTCTACCTCGCAAGGCTGTTGGGAACACAGAAAGAAAAAAGATCTTCCTAGATTCCCTTCTAAAAATAGGCAAGATGTAGATCAGAATAACCTCAAGAAAAAAGAATATTTTCGGGCTACTCCCCTCTATATAAAAAAATAATTATTATTATAGTTACAGACCAGAATTACAGATAAAAGCACATTAAAAGGCAGATGAGGCCGCTATTCCTTACCTGCCCCTCACCCAGAAAGTCCAATTTTTCGTAGCGTTTGGCTCGCGCTCGCGCATCCATGGCGACCCGGGGCCAGGGAAGACTGGAAAAGCGATTTAAAACCCCCCGTAGCTGAAAACGATCTTTAAAACTCCAAAACCTCAAACTGCAATTCCTCTCCGCCGCTTCCGGCTTCCGGTGCGGCACTCTATGCTTGCGCATGCGCCGCACGTTGACCAAAAGACGCTTCTGCAGGCCGGGTAACGGCGTCCAACGCGAAGAGGAAGAACGCGCAACACCCATTGCTGGGACTCCGCTGTCAAGGGAACGGGCGCGAAAATTGGATAACGCGCTTAGCTTGACTGAACAGCAGCGGCGGCGGCAGTGTTCCCTTCCACAACTTGGCATTGGAAGGAGGTGCATACTTCCTATGAGTGAAAACGTGATACAGCAATTTTCAGTTTTTAAATAACGTAATCTGCCACGTTTTGTCCTTAAATGCTTTGCGCCCGGCTTGTAATACGTTTTAACCATTGCGTTACCGTTGTAAGTGGTCATGGTACACTGAACATTTTGAGGTGGGGTGGAAAGAGAAGCAGCACTTTATAAATCTCTTAAATAAAACTGTTCTGTTTATGCCAGTAAGGTGACCTGAAGCATGCAACAATTAGTTTGGTTAAGTGGCCAACTATGGAATTGAGGAAACACCCCACTGACGATTAAATCTATTTGCTAATTGGTATGTATACATAGCTCTAGAATCATAATTAAAACACAAATCACATTATGTCGGAGAAGATAACTATGACCAATTTATCTTATCCCTGTCATGTCTACTATTCAGATAGTATCTGTTGGGGAGACTAAATTCCCTGCCAATACTTTTGATGGTTATATCGGTGTTTTTTATTCAGAGGAAAGGTTGTAACTGATCTGGTTTCCAGCTAGTTTACACATAAGCTGCGGTGTATTAAAATCTTGCCAGATTCAAATCATTCTTCAATTACAGTCTGAAATCTTCGTCTATGAGTAGAGTTTGTAGGCAGTAAATTGTTTTGATGAAATATATTTAAAAGTTGATTTGCTTTCTCTTCCTTAAATTTCACCTCCAATTTGCTGCAGTTTGACTGGCCAAACCTTGAATAAAACAGTACTGTAAATGGACCTAATGGTGATCTTTCTGAGATTTAATAGCATAATGATCAGACATCCTCTTAGCTCTTTTCCAGTTGTGGGGCTGATTATTGAACACTACCAATATAGGTAGCCCTCGACTTGTCATCATTCATTTAACAATGATTCAAAGTTATGACAGCACTGAAAAAAGTAAATTACAACCTATCCTTGAAGTTACGAATGTTACTTCAACCCCAATGGTCAGGTGTTCATGATTTGAGTCATTGACAACTGACTCACTGATAACACTTGCAGCATCCTGTGGTCATGTGATCTGTTTGCAATCGTTCTAGCCAGTATCTGAGAAGCACTCAATGGGGAAAGTTGTATTTACTTAATGGCAGTGGTGATTCACTTAATGACTATGGTCATAAAGGTCATAAAATCAGGTGCAGTCACATAATGCCTGATTTAATTACTGTGTAGCTTAATGACAAATTTTCTGGTTCCAATTGTGCTTGTAAGTTGAGTACCTGTAGCAGATGCAACTAGGTCAGACATGTCAAACTCGCGACATATTGGAACTTTTCCCCATTGCTGGCAATGGGGTGGGCGTGGTTTCATGATGTGTCCGGCCCATAGGCGGGCAGTTTAACATCCCTGAACTAGGTGTTTTTCACTAGGCATGTCTTGTAATTCCACTAAGGAATATCCACATTCCCTGGCAATATCCATTGTTCGTACAGCTTTTGCCATTTCAAAAACAGAAGTTGCTTTGCATTCATTTTTTTGTAAGTTTGCTTGTATGTTTGGGATTACTGTCTGGCTGCATGACTTGCTTACACTTCAGCTGATGGCCAAATGGCTCAGTAGTCTCCTGCAAAATTCTGATACACACATACATATCAGATGATGGCAAGTCTAGGTCACTCACAAACCATGACATTACTACCTGTGTGCTTCAGAGATAGAATGTTTTTGTTGTGAAATGCACTGTTTAATTTCTTCCAGATACAATAATGTCCATATAGCCTGAAAAATTTGACTTTTGACTCGTCATTTATTGAACATTCCTCCAGAAGTCTGGAGAATCTTCTGCAAAGTATGGCTATATCTGTGCTTAAGAGATTTAGAAATGTTTTGTACTTTTTTTATATTGACAGACATTTCTGTAAGAATTTTTACAGAGATTGCATACTTTTAAAACCTAAGTGATGAGAACCTCATTGTCTAATGAAAGTAGTATTTGTCAGATTTGCATCTTGCAGGGCCTCATTGTTAAGTTTTAGAACAACTGTCCTTTGTTCTCCTTTAACAATCCCATACATTAAAAAGAAATTAGTGATTTATTTTTTCATTAGCAGCATATTATATGTTGGGAGACTTTATGAAATGAAATGAATGACAAATATTAGTGTTATTTACATAGGTTCCTTTTATATTTCTCTAGGACCCACAGAAATGTTTAGTGTTTGCAAAAATTCAGAAAATCTAAAAAAGGGCAAATACTTTTTCCATAGAAGTGTAAGTAATGGGAAAAGCTAATCAAAGCACACATATGTTTCAGAAAAGGCAGGCAGCACTGAAATGTACATTCTGTTAAGGAGGTGCATTCAAGACTGCAGATCCATATTGTGTTTTTTATTAGCCAACTCTCCAGAGGGATTTGCTATATTTGTATTATTTGTTGTACACCCGTCTATAATTGGCAATTAGAATTTGTTTGGGTTTTGTGCAAATGCTAATATATAACAAATCTTAAAATACATATGAAGAATATATCAAACAATAATAGAAATGCAAACAATACATTCAGTATCATACACAAAAGTATTTTTACAATAATAAAAGGTGAATAGCTTAATCCTTTACCTACTGATTTAGTAAAATCTTGCATACACATTTGCATTATAAACCTGAATCCTTTCCCTACTTAAACAGAACAGATGAAAATTCTTCTCAAGTTTGTGTAATCAAAAACAGTTGTTTCAAATAACATTTCTCTACTAATTGTGTAGTTCCTCTTTCCTGTCATAAAAACATACATGTTATAGCAGGTACATGTTAAAAATGAACTCAAGTATTGATCACACGATCTATGAATATATCCATTTGCAGTTTCAGTGCTGCTCCATAGAAATAAATTTTGTATGTGCTTCAATATAATTCAATATGATGTGTATTATAATCATGTACTAAGTATTAAATACTATAAATTATACTTCATATCATTCTTGATTTATAAATTAGTAGTGCACAAATCAGTGCTCAATCAGCACAAGTTCTTCTAGCTCCTTGATTCAGGAACTCAAACAACCCAATCATGGAGATGTTTTGATGTGCAAGTGATGAGCTCCCTACAAGAAACAGGCATTTTGATGGAGCAAAGTAAATGTACACAAGAGAATCTTACACACTGCAATTCATGGAAATTTCTAGAACTCATCTGAGTCCATCTGAGAATATTGGTATTAGCTTTGATTGACAAGAAAATATTACTAATATTTAATTTCTTATTACAATGTAGTCACTAGGATTATTTAAAGACAGACACATGAAAATAAATTCCTGCCTATTCTGAATCAAATTTAACAACTGTGCAAGTTGAGGTAGTATAGCACTCAGGGAAGAGCTGGATTATTTCTTTTTCTGAAGGAATATTGTGCATATTTGTAGATTACATTGTACAATGAGTTCACTAACAAAATTTGTCAAATTTTGATATGGCTAACTTAAGTTTATTTCTCAGAGTTCTTTGGAAGAACATATTATTTGCTAGAAGGATCCTGCATTGTTCAAACTTTGAAAACAACATGATTGTCTTCAGGCTATTATTGTCATTTTATTAGTAGCTATTTTTAATTCTTAGTGTATCAACAGCAACTATAAGAGATAAGGAAACTATAGTGAATAGAATGAAAAAATAAATTTCATCAGGCAATTAAAGTCGATGCTTCTGGTTACCTGAAACAGAATTATCTCTGAATGAGACATAACCACTTTCTAAAGCGATTACCTTTTAGTCTCTCACAAAAGCATTTTGGAAAAAAACCTTTCCTTTGACCTCCTTTAATATCCAGAGAGAGAGAGAAAGTGAAGAAGGACTTTATTGTAAGTACAACGGTTTGTTATTCAGCAGTTACAAACTGCACAATGCTCCACCTTATTCTGGGCCTCCACGCTGTAAAATAAAATATTATCTTTTAGCAGAAACAAAAATTAATTTTTGCAACATTGCTGATTAGAATATTATGTACTCATTTACTGCTGTTCCTATAGGAACTCAGGTTGATATACTGTATGTAATGCCCCCTCCTCCTATTTGACACAACAACAATCTTGTGAGGTGGGCTGAACTAAAAGAACTGGCACAAAGTCATCCAGTGAGCTATAGCTGAGGGGACTAGAACCTGTTTTCTTCATTCCTATCCCAATACCTCAATTATTACGATAGCAGTTTCTACTGCTATCAAACATAGTGACAGACATTCTCTCTTCCACTCCCACGTGACTGTTTCAGCTCCTTCACCCAATAGCATGTTCTATTTATTCTTTTAGGCACAAGCCAAATGACCTCCGAGTGCCAACTGGAAAACTGTAACAAACCCTTTCCCAAATGCTGCCCTCTTAGTTAAATTTTAGGAAAGAAATTAAATACGCAACTGAGTGATTTTGGAAGAACAAAAATGTAAAATTAAAGAATGATAAAATACAGTAGGACACAGAACGTGAGAATTAGAAATCAGAAGCTTTCTAATTCCATTTAGAAATCACCTGAAATTTCTTAATTTCAGAAGATTTCTAAATAATTAAAAAATAACATTTGGAGTAATTTCAAGCCATTGCAATGTTGTAAAAATGTTTTTGCAATGCTGATCTTGCAATATTTTTTCTACACTTGATTTCCTCCAGTTTTTCTACTAACCACCTCCTGAGTGTCTGAAATAGCATAAATAAAGATTAGTTATTCAGTAAGGAGGGGAGAGCAATTGAGATTTTAGCAAATCTGATTCAGGATTATAACTGTTTCATTTATCACAATCCATACCCTGGGACAAGGTCTGGTGTTCTGAATGTTTTAAAACAAGGATAACCAATCATATTGCTTATCACAAGCCGACAGAGGTATCCAGCTCCAATATTTCAGACTCAGACTGCTTCAGTCAGATATTCCAGCCTCCCACCAGCTCGACAATATGCCAAGCTATATTGGAGGGTACCAGGTTATTTAAATCAGTTGTGTCAAATTCAAGATTATATGTTTTAAAACTACCGAATATTGTTTGTCTTGCTTATTTTTGTAGGGGATCTTTGGGAGAAAGTGACTAAATTCCCACCTAGATGCATTCTTCAAAAGACAGGACTGAGAAAATTTTCCTCTGTACTATACATTTATACTATGAGGTTCCTGAATCATATCAACAGCAAACTATTGGTAAAACTATTCAGAATTTGGAAAGAACAATCACCAATAGGTGAATGATATAAAGTAATGAAAAGGATGGAGTGTTGTTGATCATGATAAGTAGAACTGACTTAAGAGAGGAGTATTCATCTTGTACTTTATGGAATTACACTCATGCTTGTAGAATAGATTTATAAATTGGACTCCCCTGGATTTGTATTGTTGTTGGGTTTCTTAACAGCATTTTAGGCAATCAATGCAAGCTGCTGCTTTATTTAGGAAGAATAAACTCTCTCCATAGTTATCCATGGGAGCTGATAGGATTAGGGTTTCATGCAATGCAGCCATCTGAACTTGTTTGATAACTGAGATAGCACAGAATTTCCCATAAGCTAGTTAGACAAACAATTAAGATGCAAGTGAAATAGTTGGCTATATAACTGCAATCAATTTATTTAGTAGTTTTCATACTAAAGCTTCATACCAAAGTTTAATTATGAAGTACCGTATATACTCGAGTATAAGTCGACCCGAGTATAAGCCGAGGGACCGATTTTCCCACAGAGAACTGGGAAAAATTGGTGACCCGCGCATAAGCCGAGGGGGCATTTTGGCTGTTCCTCCCTGGCCGCCTCGGCCCCCCCGGCCCTGTCAGTGAGCGCCCGGCAGGGCGCAGCGTCGCCAGGCCTCCCCCCTT